AGCAGGGGAAGAGACCTCTCCCAAGGAAGAAGCGGCAGAGACAACATATGATGAACTGACCTCAGCCCCCATTCCCATCCCCCTGTGCCGCTGGGGGGAGTAGGTAGAGGAGCTGGGAGTGAAGTTGAGCCCAGAAAGAAGGGAGGGGTGGGGGGGAAGGTTTTTAAGATCTAGCAGTTTTTCTCCTCTCCTTCTCTGATTTTGATTGATAATAAATTAATTTTTTTCAAGTTGAGTCTGTTTTGCCCATGATGGTAACTGATAAAATGGTCTCTCCCTGTCCTTATCTTGACTCACAAGCCTTTTGATTTACTTTGCTCTCCTCTGTCCGGTTAGAGTGGAGTGATAGAGCAGCTTTGGTGGGCCCCTGGCGTCCAGCCAGGGTCAAACCACTACACCCTATATGATGCTTTGTTCTTTTCCACATCTTGGAACTATCCTAACAACTGTGCAGCTTTGCTCAAAAGAGTAAAATCAGGAAAAAGAAGGCATCAATACAATCGTCAGGTCCCAAAATGCTATTAAGGTCAATAATTTGCTGTTTACCTACACTTGCTATTTTGGGGTTATGCCTCTTGGTGCCAGTAAATGCAGCTCTGCTGTTACTGATACCTATAAATCAAAGCTACACCAGGACGTGATCAGCCCTGTGTCCAAGGGAAGGCATGGATCAGCTCTCCTGCCTTTTACAAGAACAAAGCTATGATTTGGGATTTTCCTTCCTGCCTCTTTTTGTTCTTGTTGTTAAACTTTTGGTGAATTTCCCAGGGATCCAAGAAGCATTCATGCTCTTGGACAATTCTGGCTTCAATGAACTGCTCTTCTCAGGTCACTGATGTAACCTCCCAAAGCACTCCTAAACCTACTAAACATGACAGAATAATTTGTTTAAAGTGGCTTGTTTGAGCTACATCTCAAGAATAAACCAGTAAGCCAAACCTCTAGCCAGTATAACAAGGAATACTCAGCCTTCATCAGGGTTACAGGCCCCATCTTCTCTTTTTACATCCTAGAAGAAAAACAAGTCAATGCCAAGCGCCCCACAATCCCTTCCTCTGTCCCAAGGTCTTCAAGAGGGGCTCCACTAGTCCAGACTCATCTTCTACATCTTACACCTCTGCCAAAAAGTTATTGGGAATGTCTCCATGCCTCTTCCTCTCCAGCAGATCACCAGCCAACCTTTCTCTCTGCTCCAATCCAGTCATCCCAGTAGACTTAAGGCTGAATCACCAGTCTCCTTCCACACAATTCTTGGGCTCATTCCACTGCATCTGGAAGATGAACAATGCCTGGCAAACAGGTCCTTTAAAGGGACACTTTACCTTGTCACACTCAGAAGCAATTAAAATGTGTATCCCTAGAGGAGCGAGCTAGAATAGGCAAACATGTCTTTTCTCTGGGTACTGCAGTAGTATTTATGATCCCTGATCTTCCTTATACATGATTGACCCTGACAACTGACTCACACAGTCCAGCATGGACCAAAACCTCTTTGGTCCTTCTGTCTTCCACACAAAATACTTGTCAGCTTGAAACCTGTTGTTGTCATTTGATACATTTACAGAGTTCTGATTTGTTCCAACATTTACTGCTAACTGTGTCCATGGCCACGCACAGACTACAAGCCACAAGGCTGCCTTGCATTCACTGTCAGGTAAGTAGTAATGCCACCTCTGTTCTACAGCTAGAATTTGTCACTACACCCTCCCGCAGGTGTGAGATGATCTCCAACTACCGAGTTGGAAGAGGACAGGAACAGAGAATGACTCCTGCCTCTCTGTGGTGGAAAAGCAGAACTGCCACTGGTACCAGAGCTTTGCTAAGGGAGTCTACCTAAGCATTCAGAAAAACTAATAACATACAGAGCACTCTGTCCAGGAACACTTTTCTGAATATATTGCAGGAGCAGCAGTATACCTGGCTGTGTCCTGGTTTTCTGAACTGTGCCCTGGTTTTGGCTGGGATAGAGTTAATTTTCTTCCTAGTAGCTGGCATAGTGCTGTGTTTTGGATTTAGGTTGAGAAGAATGTTGATAACTCACTGATGTTCTAATTATTGCTAAGCAGAGCTTACATTGGTCAAGGACTTCTCAGCTTCCCATGCTCTGCGAGGTGCACAAGAAGCTGGCAGTGGGCACAGCCAGGACAGCTGACCCCAACTGGCCAAAGGGCTATTCCAGGGACTATGACATTATGCTCAGTATATAAACTGGGGGGGGGGGGGCAGCTGGCCTGGGGAGCAGCAATTGCTGCTCGGGGACAGGCTGGGCATCAGTCAGTAAGTAGGTGGTGAGCAATTGCATTGTGCATCACTTGTTTTGTATATTTTGTATATTCTCTTAACATAATTATTACTATTGTTATTATTATTAACTCTGCTGTTTTATTAATAAAACTGTCTTTATCTCAGCCCATGGGTTTTATTTTTTCCTGATTCTCTCCCTCATCCCACTGAGGGGTGGGGACTGAGCGAGTGGCTGTGTGCTGTTCAGCTGCCTGCCGGGTGAAGCCACAACACTGGTGTATTGCAAGTTAAAGAATTAGTAGTTTTCCCTGTAGGATATTCTTTTCACTCTTGAAATGCTATTTCAGTTGACACTTTAACAGGCATTTGGGATTAAGAAACTCCCAAGGCTGAGCAGAAAGCATCTTTATAGCTACTGGATTAATGACAGAAAAGCTACCAACTGCCTAATCTTCTTGGCAGACAATCTTCTCCAGTGTCCTTTGCACAAGTTGGTTTTAGGATCTGGCATTTCTTTTTTAAGCCATCTATAAATAATGTCACATTCAAAATCATCACACCTATCTCTAGAACTCAAAAAAGTCCTTCAACTACTGGCCAAACTGTAATTTCCTCTACAAGAAAGATAGCACAATAGTTGTTTTCATAACAAAAACACCTACATGACTGCCACAAAAATTAGTAACTCAACATGGCATATAAACCAAAATGGCTTTTTTCTTAGGCCTGAGTCCTCCAACCCATTTGGCAAACCCCCAAGACACAGTTAGAGGCGACAGGGTTTACCCAAGATGGTTTCAAGATTGTCTGTGCTGCATACTGTAAAAAAGTCTTGTTTCTCTGAAATAGTGTCTTTACATTTAAGAAGGCTACAAGAAACATGAAGAAAAGAAAGGGTAAGGAGATTTCCGAGTTGCCCATCAAGTTCCAGAGTGCAGCTTCATTAATCCTTCCTTGCACTTTTATGAGACACCCCAATAAGAAACATACCCAAGACTCGGCACAGTTTTATCAGTAAAACTATACTGGTAAATCCTCCTTATTTTGGAGGATTCATGCTTCTACAAAATGGCTAGACAGAATGGACCTCTTCATAAAAGATGGGGGAAAATCATTATTGGTCAAAAACCACCGCTGTATTAAGCATACCAAGCTTAATTCTCTCCCATTAATGCTAAGGCTGATTTACAGTCAGACACACAACTGTTTGTAAGAGCAAGACACTAAACCAGGTACCTAAGTAGATACACGCATGGATCAATTTTGTACATTTGACAGATAAACCCAGACTGCTGCGATGGGTACTTGTGCATTCTGACAGAAAAAGAGTGTCTGTACTGAGAATGAGGAGGCTTTTCTGGGCTTGTCTGAAGAGCATAAACACGTGCAATTATATCCCATTTAAGATAAGAAGCTTGGCCTCAAACATCCAGCTCCTTTAGTCGGTGATCATGCCTGTCAGTATCTGACTAGTCTGGATACCAAGAGAGGAGAGGACAATTAACCTGCACAGTTCAAAGAGTTCAAGGCTCCAAAGGACAACCAAAAGCTTACTTGAAGAAACTTTGCCAAAACAAGATCAGCCATAGAAATGGTACAGATCGTAATGACAGGTTTGCTCAGTACCACAAAGTACTGTGATTTATTTTTATAAACTTAAGACTAGATGCTGCAGGGTGTACTGCAAAAGACTAGGGCAGAAAGAGTGAGTGTACTCATTCTCTCGTCAGAAATGAGAAGAGTACTGCTGATCTGTGCAATACTCCCGGGTTTTCTGTGATCACCCATCACAGAGTCTTCAGTACCTGCAGTGACTCTGCTTCGGATGGGCTGAGGGCATGCTTTCTGAGGAGACAGGACTGCAAAACCAAAGCTTCCTACCCACCACTGTTTTTGCTGTAATGAGGAGATGTAATGCAAACACCACCTGGATGCTGGCAAGAGACGTGGACCCAACCTATTTTATTTCTCAGTAGACACTGGCACTGATCAAACTACCATTGAAACAGAACCTGTCAGTTGAGGGCCTAAAAGAGCTGTTCATGCTGTTGTGCACAGATCTGTGACATGCTCCTTCCCTACTCTAGTCTGAAAGAAACTGGACCCCACAAAGCGTGCATTTTCATTTGCACCTTTTGCTGTACAATGCATGGTGTTTGTTCTCTGTTTAACACAAACAGCAGTTATTTAAATACCAGAGTTTCTGCAAACACTGGTGCACCCCAGCCATTTGCTATCTGAGGGACTGGGCTGGTGCATACTTCCAGCAGCTTTATCTTCCAATGTCATGGCATGCCCAACAAAACATACCAGTATTTCTTCAAAACAGTGCAAGTTCCTGGATATTGATTAACTGCTTGATCCATTTTGACACAGGTATTACCCTTTATACCCTAAGGAATATTTTAAACTTTTAACTTAGCTTAACCTTAAGTGAAGGTAACAAGGGAACTGTGAGCAACCTGCAATAGTGAAGCAAGGCTCCCCCACAGCCAGATTTCTATCAGGAGAATCAAATATGAACACACAGACCTGAAGCTAGGGTAAACCTTCAGCTCAAGGCATGCGAGCTGAGCAACAATATTCTACCATATAGCTGCACATGGAGCTAGTTACATGCCTGACGATACCTCACTAATCATACTAATTTGACAACATTATAATCTCAATGGTTATTTGGCATGGACCAGGAAAAACACGGGATCCACATCCACTTTCTCCCTGACACCATCCCCTAGGAGAGCTTTTTTTTTTTTTATATGAAATGCATGAAGGGATTTGTTTGAACAGAAATGAGAATAAAGTTTTACAATTCCTTTGTCTTTCAAGAACAAGTATGCACCTAACTACCTTTTGCTCTTTTGATCATCTTCCACCCATGGTACTTTCTAGCATACACTCTACCCTACTAGCTCCAAATTTAAAACCATAATGCTCTTTTGTGACAATAGTATCTCCTCATCCAGGACAAATGAGAGGCAGAAAATTTTAATTTGAAAACACAGTGGGTTTGATTCACCAGAATTCTGTACAAGATTGACACCAGCATAGAACAGGAACAACAACAGGGAGTTTTGTTCTAACACATCACAAATTTCAGCATGGAACAGAAGAAACTACTCTGGAAGCTATTCTCCTTCCTTCCCCAAATACCTGTTTCACAGACAAATTTCTGCTGCAGACTGCCAGGACTTGAATGTGTAGCCCCCTACTGACTGTAGCCGTAGTGAATGAGAGAATGGCAGGCATTTTAAATAATAATTAGATTTTTTTTCTCCTGCAAAAAGGGATGAGTTGACTCCCCTCCTCTGGGTTTACAAGAATATCTCTAATTTAAATCTCCCAGGGATCAGCATAGCTTAAAATAAAACCTTTAATTATTTGCCTTTTACACTAAGGACTTAATAAAAAAATATCTTATGTATTACATCATCCCAATGCACAATTAAGAGGGCCATATATCACTTACGTCTCTTTTTAATCATCATTCAAAAGAAGGTTTATCTTTGTCCTTAATTCTCTCTCAAAAAACAGACAGGGAAACTACACACATTTTAAGTAAGATATGACCTTTCAGAAGGCGTTTTAAAAAGCAAATACCTGCAGGCATACCAATTCCTAGATTTGACGCAATAGTATTCAAACTTATGAGACACTACCTGTTTGTCCTTTTAAGTTTCTCAGGAGCTCATGCCTGGAAAACTGATATGTAGAGAGTTCACATAAATTATTCACTGCCACAAACAGATCTCCATTTGCCCTGTCAGTAGTTTCCTGGTACTTTTATCAAAATGAGACACCTCCACCAACATTCTCCAACCTTCTTGTCTAAACTAACTTGTGCGCTGTTTCCCAAGTTTCTTTGACCACAGAAATAAATGCTGCTCAGTAGGATGTCTAATGAGAAAAGACTCATAAACACCTTTACAAAACACTGTTAGCAGAGGCTTCCATTGTATGGAGGAGCAGCAGCAGAATAGGGTAAGGTAGCAAACAGGAGAATCTCAGTTCTAACAGAGGCAGTCAGAATGCAGATACTTGGTCCTTCTCTTGTTTTTTTTGATGGACATTTACATACGCAATACGTAAGAGCCAACACAAGTTGTAAAATCCTTCTCAGACACCAGAGAAGAGGAGGAAAGGACAAGTTCGTACGCTGGTACTTGCCTGGTCCTTTTTGCAGCGGGTGAAGAGATGCAAAAACAAACAACAAAAAAAACCCCCTACTGCTGGTGTGGTTATCATGGTAGTACTCTTTAAAATGTTAAGATCAGTCTCAGGTTCTTCTTTATTTGCATTCTGGTTTTATAGTTTCTAAAGCCCTGACTGACAGCTACAATCTAGTAATTAACCTTATCTTTGTCAGTCTGACTCCATCATTTTTATCCACGTCAGAAGACAAAGTGGTGTAAGACTCACAGTACAACTTTCAGAGCTGGAACATCTTCCATACATGCTCGGGCCTTGCTCCACATTCGTTCTAGTACCCAGACTGTGATCATGCAGTCACCTCACCCTTATGCAGGCTACGTAACCAAAACGCTGTCAGTAGAGTGAAACCCTTGCCCTGATTCCACAATAAAGAAACAAGTGTGAGTTACATCAGGTTGCAGCAAGAGGTATGTTGCAAGAAGACGGACAATATCTGACCTAGTATAATGGCCTAGGGAAAAAAAAAATCATTGCCAAAACTATCTGAACTGGCATAGCAAGTTTATGCCAGATCTGCACTTGCATGTGGGAGAAGCATTTCTAATCTGGTATCACAAGCACTGAAGATCTAGTGTATCATCAGACAGTGGCCTAAGGAACACTGCATTCAGGAGAAATGTACTCACCTCTTCAACTCAGCAATGAGCAAAGCTGTGCAGGGAACACCCAGAGTCATTAATGAGATGTTGTTGATGGCAGGCTTAATGAAGGCAAGGCAGGTAGTAACTCCAGACAGGACACCCACAGCAGCTTTAAATCGGCTCCTGAATAGGGTTTTTCAGGGAAAAAAAACTGCTTTTGATTCAAAACTTTTAATTACTAAAACCAGAAATCTTAAAATAATTTTAAAAATGTAACAAAGTTTAGGTTTCTCTTGGTGTGTTCAGGAGGTGAAATGACAATGTGGATAAACTGGATGTGGATCTCGCACAGATTTACATGTGCATGCAGAGTTAATCTATACATAAATCTTTGCTGGACTGTGGTCTTCTGAAGCAGCCGTGTGTACGTATAGATACGCATGCGCACACACATACTAAACACTGGTTTCAAAATCCGAAGACCACACTCCGATCTTCCTCCTCCCACAATAAGTCAGGAACAAGTCCATCTCTGCACACAGCAATCCTCAAAGCAGTGTTGTGTCATCATTCTTCATGCTTTTAACATGGACTTTTTAGGATATTTTGTTACCATTAATGCCCCAGCTGTCATGTTACAGTCCATTTTATTTTATTTTCCTTTACCTCTCTTAAGCCTTAAAGATACTGAAAACTACAGAGTAAGTAAGAACATTTCTTTTAACCAAATTCAACAGTAGGTGAGGGATTTCCACACATATTTTTAGCATAAATGAAATCACAATTGGGCCCTATATAGACAGCCTGCCAACTTTTAAATTAAATATATGTTAACTGTTGTTTAAACTTCAAGTCTGGAATTTAAACAATCCATATCCAGTCTGTGACAGGACTATGGCAGGCAGAGGCTCATCACCCTGCCCTTCAACTACCGGCCCATAGCTTTATAAAACTAGCTCATATCCAAGGATGGCTCTTCTGCTCTTAGTTCTATGTCTGAAGTAGGGTCTCGGTATACTTGTGCAGCACCATTCCCTGGCTGCAAGTATCATCACCTTCACCTAGCTCATTCCATCTGCCTTTTGCTTTAAAGTTTTTCTTTCTGGTGGAAGACAACAAGTTACTTCAGTAGGAAGTTCTGATCTGACGTGAATGCTTTAATGACTAAAACTACCACAAATTGATCATGGTAGATAATAACGTTTGCAGCACTGAAAATTCAGAGTGTGATGAGGATGAATAAAGTGAAGATCACAGCAGTGAGCACAGAATAGATACAATATTAGAGGATTAGCTAGGCAAAGCAAAAAACCCAAAAATACAGAATCATAGAATGTTTTGGGTTGGAAGGGACCCCTAGAGGTCATCTAGTCCACCCCCCCTGCAGGGAGCAGGGACACCGCTAACTAGATCAGGTTGCTCAGAGCCCCGTCCAACCTGGTCTTGAATGTTTCCAGGGATGGGGCCTCCACCACCTCTGTGGGAAACCCATTCCAGTATTTCACCACCATCATTGTAAAAAATGTCTTCCATGTATCTAGTCTAAATCTACCCTGTTTTAGTTTAAAACCATTACCCCTCGTCCTGTCACAGCAGGTCTTGCTAAAAAGATTGTCTCCAATATAAACCAAACCTGTTCTGGGTTAGGGTTTGTAGTCCAGAATATCTTTATACTGTGCCCTTCAGAAAGGAATCAAGACCTTAATACAAAACTGCCTTGACAGATTCTCAGGAAAAAAGTGTTCTGAGAAATTTACGATAGGGGACATCCTTCACCTCATCTCAGTATTATTATGAATCAGTTATAATGTGGGAGATTATTATTTAGAGTTTTAACACCAAGTTCAATAGAAACAGGATTTTACCCAAAAAGGGTTACTATTCCTTTTAGAAAGGATACAGTTTAACCTGTTGGCCCATACTATGAACCTACCCAGCACACTATGAGAAGATAGTGAGAGATGACATACAACAATACCCTTCTGAGGAATAATTTACATGCAGTCACAGAAATTCTTTAAGACTCTGAACTCTTCTTCACTTGAACTAAATGTCTAAAAGTCATGTCAACAACCAAAACACCTCAGTAACACCTGCTTGCTTGTTAAGTTGATGGTGTCCTGTAATAGCACTGTGTTGCAATATGCAAAAGTACTAAATTCACACCAACATGACAAAGCTATTAGGCTGTGTAGACTGTACACAGTAATTCAAGATACACTTTTCTCAGTACAAGCTACTTTAAGGCACCAACCCTCTCTCCCCTCCCCACCACCCACCCAGCAACTTCTAACGAGGCACATGTTCAGGAAAAAAAAATACAACCCCCTGCAGACAGTAACAGTGTAAGGCGGCAAGAGGCAGCAGCCTTAGCAGTCTTCAAAGAGAAGAACATTGGTGCTGCAATTCAAACCTCTCCATTACCTCAACTTCTGTACTGCATAAGAGAGCAATACGTGCAAAGATGATAGCGCTTTTTTTTACGGGGGAGACAAACTACAACCAGATTCTTTAAACTGGCTACAATGCACTTTTTTTAATCCTGCAAGAAAAAAAAAAAATCACAACAATAGGCTTCTAAGCACTAAACCTTTGAAAACTTAAACACCGTCCTTAACCACTGCCTTAAAAATTCAGATGAAAATTCAGCTGACTTCCATAGGTCCACTTGTATGTACACTTTAGGATATAAAAAAGGAAGAGGGAGAGGGACTCTCTCACTTTAGCTGCAACTTACATAAACTCATGTAAAGGTTTCCCTAGAATCAACAGGAACAGGCACTTCTAGAGGCAAGTCATCTCATCCCAAAATCAAAAGTTACAGGGTGTAAACCCCACCATCAGCAACTGCAGACTCAGGAATTCTGAACAAAATTGGCTGAGATAGAAGCAATGGGGTAAGAATGGAATGAGAAAAGATAGCAGTGGCAGTGGTAAGGTTGGATGATAACTCAGTGCCATTACATGCAGGTTTAGGTTGTTAGTGTAAGAAGTTTCAGGAAACATAAAAGTGAACATGTTTGACTGTATGATTACCTGTCATTCCGAAAAACTCTGGGCAGGTATCTCCTAGGGAACCACATGGCAAGAGCACACATCAGGACCCAGAGAATAGCCAGCTCATCCAGCATCTGACCCAGGAAACTGAGGGTGGCGTGAAAGTAAACAGATCCAATTCCTGGAAGAATCAATCAAAAGGCAGCATGAACAGCTGCAGTACTGTATAGACCGAAACACACTGCTCATGTTCAGAGCAAATGGTGGATACCATTTGGTCTAGGCAAGGTTAAAAAAAAAAAAAAAAAAAAAAAAAAAAAGAAAATTGGAAAACAAAGGCCAGCTTTCCTAAGGCGGCAATCCAAATCATCAGCACCTCATTAATTACGAAGCAAACACATTACAAAAGCAGCAGCTAAAGATGCCAGCTTCTACTAGAAAAGTAGATGTATGTGAAAAAACCATCAGGTGGTAAAGTTAAATGCAAAACCAATTAAGAAATAAAACCCAAATGCCGCTTCTGAATTTTCTCAATAGCACAAGAATGGGTAACACAAAGATGAAAAGCAGCATCTGATGACTACCCCATGATACAGGTTCACAGGTGGAAAGTGTCACACTGCCCCACAGAGGTGGAAAGTGTCACACTGCCCCACAGAGGTGGAAAGTGTCACACTGCCCCACAGGGCTCTGATTACCCCTTTAGAAGTTCCCAGTGCCTCCAGGAATGCAAAATCTTTAGAATCTCACACCTACAAAATATCTAAGCCTTTGGGCATTCTCAGTACAATGTAAAACCTGTTACCCTCTTCAGTTGTGCTGGGCACTTTCAGCTCTCATTTAAGCAACAAGGACAGAGGAAGAAGGGTCAGCACTGCTGTAGAGCAAGCCCAGACAAAAATGAAAGAAGTGATGCAAAGGAAGGATAGGAAGGCAACAAAACTAAGGCCAAAGTTCCCACCAATCTCAAATTGCAAAAGGCATTTTCCTTTCAGAAACAAGACTGCTTCAGCCTCAAGCAAACACAAGCAAACTCCTCTGCAGATGTCAGGATTGCTTTGTTTTGCAGAACAATCAAGCACAAGCAGGAAAAATGGCTTTCCTCTCTCACTTCATGCATGAGCAGGCAAACAGAGACTAGTCAACTTACCAACCACAACTAGCAGAGTCCATATTAAATATATTCCACTGTTGAAGCAGGTTGCATACTGACGGAACAAGCACATACATATGGGTGGTAAAACAAAAAACAAGATGTTGCTTATCTAGGGAAAAAAAAACCAAACAGTATTACAAGGACAGAAAATAAACAAACTTTAAATATTCATGGGCTACCAAAGACATCAATAAAAACATTGTGTCATCCAGCGAAGCCCCAGCTCAACAAATTACGGCCCTCAGTTTCTGAACAAGCTGAGCTATTTTAGCAAAGCATCAACTTGTTCTGCTTAACATTATTAAACTAATAACAGCATAAGAACTTCAAGCAACATAAAATGTGGCTAGTCACATCTTTAAATTACCTTTCAAGTCTATTGCCAGAGGAATTTTATTGAGAGCCTACAGATGCCAAATACTGTTGCAATTCAGGAAGCCTACAAAAGCAAGCAGCTGAGGAACAGGACGTCCTGGCAAGTGACCTGTCCTCTCAATAGCTGTCAAGCCTAGCATGGAAAAGCACTGGAAGTACTGGCGCTAGACAGGGCTAGTCTAGCTTTGCGGAAGTCAAGCTACTTGTCTGGAAGGGCGGAAATACAAAGCTAAGCTAAAAGAGTTAGAACCATTTTTGTGCAGGGTAAGGAGAGCCTGAAGCTGAAATCCTTTTAGACTTCAATTTTTCTCTCGCTTCTCCATTACAGGAACAACTGAATAGGGTTGAAAACTAGCTATAGGAAGGTGAAAAGGCCGGTAATTCAGACCATTGCTAGCTGTTTTTAATTTAATATGTAAGAGTTGAACAAAGACATATTTTCTCTTGCTTACCAACAATCCAAAGCATGATTCTCCAGTTAAAGACTTGAAAACTCTTTACTGGCAATTAGCAGGAGCCGTCACTGTAGTGATCACTTGGTTCTCCCCAGAAAAAGCTGCCAGTACTGAGGGCCAACCACGGCACTGTAACTGAGCTGTTTCGGAAAGACTCTACTGCTGCTTCACAACAGGACAGGGAACAGGATGAGTTCCCCAACCTCAGCTTTCTCATGTTCCCCTGACTAGGCCAAGAACAAGAGAACATCATCCCCAGCAGCATTCCCCTAAAGTGGACACATAAAATAACTCTGGCACAAGAGCACTTCCTTGGGACGGATCCCCTCTTTGCAGAGACTTAAAAACTTTTACTGATAGTAATGAAAATATAGTGGAGAAAGGATTCAAGAACAACATACAGAGAAGGGATTTGTTTGCTCAGCTACTGTTGTTCACCACCCAACATGGTCTAAGAACAGACCTTATGATGATTGAAATGGACACATCTCATTTCACATTTGCAAAGCTCATCAAAACACACTCCTAGGCTGGCACTCAAAATGACAATAATCACAGAAGCAGTTTCTCAGCACGATCCACTTCATGCCTGACGCCCTCCCTCACGCTAAAGATACAACCTCACAGACAATCTGCGTTTCCTTCCAAAGTCTCGTCTTTTAGATTTCATTAAAATCCTTAGAAAAAGCCATCACCCATGCAGTCTATAGCTGCAAATACTATGCAAATCTCTGCCACAGCACCCTGGAAACAGCACACAGCCCAAGCAAAGACTTGCTAATGCAGAGGGCTCCTCGCAGTCATGCCACAAACACTGACCAGTCATGCCGGGAAAGGTGCCAGAGAGCCACCTCCCACTGGACTGCCTTTTCTGAAACGATGCAAGGGTTGAGTCCTTTTGCTAATCACCAGCTCCTATGGTGTGTTTGGCTATGTAGGAGGCCAGCCTCATAAAGCAGATGTGAAAAACCTGTGGGGGCACCAACTGATGAACAGTGCCATAGACCAAGCACCTCTTCGGCAGGAATAAAATGATTCTTCTTAGGGAAGCCCTTCACCCCACCAAGGTGGCAAATTCAGCCTTTGTCACTCACAAATCAAGATGGTGGAAGGTTAACAACGGCAATGTCAGAGCGCAGGATACTGCACAGCCCTGGGGAGGCAAGGTAAAGGCCAAAGAGTTATTTATAAAGTAGTATCCTGCTTTAGCAGATTTTAAGAGGCAGATCGATTTGCCCAATCCATGTAAAACAACTTACACATTCAACCAAACAGGGTCACTTGAGCATCTTCCATGCATAAAAAACCCCCCAGCTCCATGCAGCAGAGAACTTTAGCAACACTGGGAATGTAGCCACAGACCAGGATCCCAGCGCATGATGTGTTGACACAAGCACAGGCTGGGAGGGCTCCCCTTGCCCCAAAACAGGTAGGAAAAGCATACACGGTGATTGGTAGCAGGGATGATGGAATATGAACAAGTCCTGTAGGGAGTGCTCTACACGTTTTAGGCTTCAGCCATAGTTAGGCCAAAGAGAGGTGTCAAGTGGAAAAAAAATAGATGGTTATAAACAAAAGTGGTGTGGAAGAAAACCTTTCCACCTCTACAGCTAGAGCTGACCAACTCAGAAAATCAGACCAGGTAATCACAGCCTATAAAAAATTGGCTAGAACATCCTTATTCTGCCTAGGAACAAGATGAGAAAGGAAACACATCTACCTACCATACCTGTAGCAATGCAGATTTACGCTAGTGATTAGACAACAAGGGAGGAGTTCTGCCCTACAGTAGTGCTCTTCTGGTACTGAACTCCTGTTCATGCTAAGGTCCTGCCTGCAAATGCAAGAAAACCCTTGCAACCTGGAGCTTGGCCATGACTTGTGCTCTTTGCAATGGCCACCAGGAGGATTTCCTAACACCTTAAAAATTGAAATAATTTTAGTACTGAAATACTTTTCTATTAAGTTCACAAAAAATGTGATCATCACGTATCTCTTTCATGCAATAGCTTAGCTCTATTTCTCATAGCCCATACATATTTTCCACGATTTTTATTAAAAACGGGGCTCTGGAACGTTTTCTGAAACACGTTGTTTAAGTTCTCCCAGTTTCAAGTTCAGCGTCAACTGTTCAACGCTGGAACTGACTTGATGGTTTTCATTCTCTGGTATCAGCCTGGCTCCCTGCAAGGACCACACCTTTAGATACACAGCAACTATCAACACCACCCTTTCCAAACAAGTGAGGCACCTATGTATGTCACACGTGCAATTTTTTACATAATACACAATTGGCCTGCATGGTTTAATAATGTTCAGTTCAAATGCTGATACAGTTAACATTAGTGCAAAAATTAGTAACAGGAATACAGAGAATTTCCTTTGGGATCTGCAAAAGGCAGCAATTAAAAGTAACAGTTCTGGAAAAAAAGGTAAGTGGCCCATCAGTATCAGTCCATCCTCCGGCTTCATACAATTCTGGACCTTCAGTTTTAATTTCTGACTACTTAATTGTATTAAAAGGAATATAGAACATGGGCCACAGAGGGAATGCCAGAGGCTTGCTCAGATCACAACCGCATAATTTCACCCACATCTGGCCACAGTCCTGACACAGGGTGCTTCCTGCAGTCCTACCAAAGCTCAAGTATTCTATACTATCTGGTACGTCTCCCAGACAGCAGCTGTAGCGTTCAGCCACCAGGGCAACACTTACTGCGCTACCTCTTTGTCAGGAGAAAGCAAAGTTCAGAGGGTTTGTATCTTCTATATCCTGATCCGTAAGCGTGCCACTAGCATACACTAGCATAAACCACTTGCAATTCCCTCTATAAATGGAGATTTGGCAAGAAATATGTATTATATGCACAACTGAATGCAACATACCGAACTGCAAAGTACTGACTCTACTAGCAACAGAAAAAAAAAATAGCACTGTTTTCAAACACAAACAGCTTTTTTTTTTTTGTAAATACCTCTGCACAGGGTAAATTTCGATCACCTGGAGGCATTTGTGTATGTTCTGGAGTAGGGTACACTGCATCAGGACACATTATTCATTTCAGGGGGAAAAAAAAAACCAAAACCCAAACCAAAGAAAAAGCTAGTTTTTCTATAACTATTCTTTCAATTTGAGTTATAAAGTGTCTCATGGCCTTTTTACTGAGAGAGTGCAAGACCTGAACACAAAATCACATCAGTCTAGCTCATGTACATTTCGAAAAATTAAGTCTGATCAGTTTGTAGCAAACCTCTGAACACATATTGTCTTGATTATTTAATCCTGTTGAGCATTTCGGTTTGCTTTTTTAACTAAATCAAGTTAAATTTATGCATAAGAGATTAAGATGGGAGTCCCACCAGAATATATTTTTTAAAAATACGTTTCAGATAAGCTGTTCCAGTTTTGTGCTTACATGAACATTGCGTGAGACCTCAGCTGCAACTCTGACCTCAGCCGTAACAGTTTGAAGTGCAGATTAGCAAGGTTTTAATCTACAGCTTAAAGTCCCAGATGACAGATTCAGGTCTGCTGAAGAGTCCTTCCTGACACTTCAAGAGTGTTTGAGTCGGAGTCAGAGCTGAACCATCTTAGAAGGAACAAAATTTAGACTCCACTTAAGGTTCCCGTTAGAGTAGGGCCAAAGTTTCTCAACTGTCCTGTGAGCATCTGACTTTTTGGGGATACAGTCGCACAACCCCATCAATCTACTGCAAGTCAGTGTCTTAATTTTCAGAAGTTGCTGACACAGAAGCCAAACCCTTACAGTGACTTGTTACTACTGGAGAAAGGGTAAACATGACTACCCTCGACATGGCCTCTTTTTTCCTCGCCTTTCGGTGTACAGCCCAACAATTTGTACACAGTGGCTGTAACACAGAGGGCTTCGGGGCAAACTTTTTGCTGTGTTTTCTCGTTAATCTGTCTGGAACCTCAGTTACTCATACGGACATACCTGCAGCTCCTAGCATTGTGCAAGCTCCCATACCACTGCTGATCAGCTCGGTACAGTCAGAACGATACCCATGCCCCTGCACAGCTGGCTCCAAAACACACTTGCTGCCTTCAAGAAACTTGTTCACCCTGACCTTTTCCTCCCTTTGTTTTTGGCTCTTGCGCAGTGACATCACACACAAAGCAAGCAGACAGCTTCCCCCACACGCCCTCAAAGCTCTCCAAGGGCACAGACCAGCCACCACCCAGGAGACTTTGGCAGCAAACTACAAGAAAAAACAACAGGTTAGCAATGTACACTGCACCATGGAATTACTTGCTCTATGTGTGAGGCACCCCCCATGATACACACCCCAGTGAGTGAAGCCAGACACTCAAGCCTTTCTTCCACTGGATGTCAGCAGTCAAAGAAAAGCAGTTTGAAAGGGAAAGACAGCGCAGACAAGGATGGAATTTGGGAGAAAAAACCCTAGAAGACCATTTTAAAGTACAAAAGAGGCAAAGCAGAACCCCCAGCTCCTCAGTCATGCACATACCACCCACTATAGAACAGAAAAAAGATAGGGCATTTGCAGGGTTCGCTCCCTGGACATGTGTATTTCATGGAAAGGCAAACTACCAGAAAGCCCGATGCATTATCTCACACTGGTGGATCTATTTATCACTGCAATTCTTCACATCAACAGGATGTAAAGAGCATTACTTCCCTTCTTAAGATGCGTGGTACAGGGCAGTCTGGCTCAGTTCCTGGGGCTGTGTTTTCAGAAGTTCCCTCCAGCAGCTGAGAAGTATTGGGATGGCGTGAGAAGACTTAGGGGTGAATTACGGCTTAGTGGAAGGAAACAATAATTACATTAGCCCTCTTCCTTGTCCTTCCTTTTGTTAGGTCCTTTCTTAAACAGCTCTTCTCCCAAAAGTACATTGCTGACTTCATCCTGCAATCTCAAGACAACTTGTTCTGGAAAGCTTTGCCTTCTTGGAGCCAAACCTACCTGGGTGAAACCCAGTTTTGCTTCCAAACACCAAGGTGTTTTTTTTTTTTCCTTGATCCATCACTGCCTTGCACGCCGTCCTGCAGCTGACACCTGTGCACACGGGTACCGGATGCAGGCAACGCAGCACCAAAAGTTCAGCGTTCGGCCGGTGCAAGGCTCGACACGGACGAGGAGGGGGCCTGCTGCACACTATTCACCCACGAGCTTGGCGTGAGCCCTCTCTAAACCTCCCGGTCTTACACCGAGAACACCAAACCGCTCGCTCTTCTTTAATTTCAGGCGCACCGGCGACTGGAGAAGTAGGCAGCGACGGGAGGGCGTTCTACAAC